TGTCTGTGTGTGTGTGTGTGCGTGTGTGTGTTTGAGTTTGTTTTGATTGTGTGTATGTGTGTGTGTGTGTCTGTGTGTGTTGGCGTGAGTATGAATGTATGTAAGTGTGTACGTATACATATGTACAGACACACAGATAGGTAGAGAGATAGACACATTCCTACTTCTGAGAAGGTCTTCTTATAATTTTTATTTTATTTATTTATTTATTTAGTAATCAAACTTTCGACTATAATGCAGAAAATCGAAGCTTAATAGCATGCCCTCAGATATACGATAAGGAACGGTTTCAAACTTACAAATTTTATTATATTCATTACTACGGATATTCTAATATTCTATAAATTTTGAATATAAAATTATATAGCACACATAAGCTACTGGTTCCGAGAATATTTTTCAAAAATCCCCCACACCAAATAGCTTAAGTAAACACAGATCTAATTCATCCTTACAAACTCACAATGATAATATAAAAAGACAAACTCCCTTAGTGATATTTAATTCAACCATACAAGCTCCCATAATGTAAAGTCTATGGACAACATCGCGCAGCCATCATGGCGCTTATGTAATGAAGAATATTGACGAGGCACAACAGAGAGAGAGAGAGAGAGAGAGAGAGAGAGAGAGAGAGAGAGAGAGAGAGAGAGAGAGAGAGAGAGAGAGAGAGAGAGAGAGAGAAGAGAGAGAGAGAGAGAGAGAGAGAGAAGAGAGAAGAGAGAGAGAGAGAGAGAGAGAGAGATAGAATGAGAGAGAGAGAGAGAGAGACAGAGACAGAGAGAGAGACAGACAGACAGAGAAATATATAAAGAAATTGTCTCAGAGTGCCATGAGTTACAGCCATTCAGACCACCTAGCATGAGTTACCCAGAACCATATAACTATTTTCCATCATCTGACGTCTTGGAAGATAATATACTGATGTTGCATCCCAAATTTGGAATGGATCATCACGTGACCACTTAACAATTATAACAATGCCTCTCCTCGCCCAAGCTGTATACCGGCTTGGTAGATGAGTAGATAAAGGACTGGATAATTACAATGTAGTTATTCTTTTCTTTTTATCTGATATAGGACGGATCACATTAATACTATAGCCTAAATGTTCAATGTAATACTATTATATAATGGTAAGTAAAAGAATAAACAAGATACAATGACGCTGTGTCACGTTTTGCGAATTTACATTATTTAGATTTCGCTTGTCTATCATGTTTCACGAATGAATGGATTTCCTGAGTGCTTTGCGTCCCTTCTCATTGATGAAAGTTTACTTGATGTCATGTTACCCAAAGTTTTTTTTATATCTTCTTTATATATATATATATATATATATATATATATATATATTATATTCACCTAATCTTCATTTATTTATTTTTATTTCTATTTCCTTTTTCCTGTTTTGTTCTGAATACTTTGTTCAATTATTATTCTTTAGAATAAAACGAACATGGTTGAAGCACTGAACCACAAGCTCCACAGCCAGTGTATGATTTAAATAATAATAATAATAACAAAGATAAATGAATAAATAAGTAAAATAAAATAAAATATATAATAATAAAAAAATAAAAATAAAAAAATAGATAATATGAAAATAATAAAATAAGATAAAACAGATAATAATAAAAAAAAATCAAAATGATCTATTTCCTCACTAACCTGCATGGTGGTGAAAGACAGGACGGCCGTATCACTAAAAGACGCCAGGGATTGGTTCGTCGTCGTTACTGCTTCGCTAAACTGAGTCTCTGCTTCCTGCTGAGCCTCTGCTGCACGCCGCGTCCCTTGCATTGACTGGGGAAACACGGATGGGTGAGATAGGAAGAGATTCATTCAGAAAAAAAATTTACACCTCACGAGTACTAAGAGATACGGGTGTCAAATGCCTTATGAAATGTATTTTAAAGATATTTAGATTTCTCTTAACTCTTTCATATTGAATAATTATCTACTGTAAAAATGAAACAAAATGTTGGAAACAAATCATGATTATGATTAGTTATATTATTAATGGAGCACCGTTGCCAAATATATGTAGGAGATATGCATGGCACTCGCTGATTGGTTGAACTGCTTTACTAGAGCCCTCTGTTGGCTACCATTAGAATCAGTCGATTTGCGATTGTAAGTCAGTCGATGCGAGTTACCATCTCTTCGTTTACCATATTTAGTCAACGTAATAGTAAATGACCGCTGGTAAATGTGTTATGATCGTATGTTAGTGAAACCGGCCCCTGGGCTGGCCGCTTTTCCGTAGCAGCATTTCTGCCGTTTTCTAGACTTTAGATGATAAAGAAAAGTAATATAAATAATAAACTTGAACCATACACTATCGTAAACAGATGTATATCAGATTACAGTTAACTCTTTCTTCTATAAGATAAACGGTAATGCCGTAATACAACAGTTATTTAAATGAAAAACAATACATAATGAATAAATTATCAAGCCAATAATGTAACATTCAACAATATAAAATGCACCGCATCTCTTTATAGAAAATGTATTAGATGTATAACTTAAGAAACATTTAACCTGTAAACTTGATCTATCTAACAGGTATACGACTATTCATATTAAGTGTGTTGTGGGGCTGAAGGTATAAAGTCACTCGGTGATGCCGAACAGGAAGACCCAGCTGAAGTGACATCTCATGAAATTTCCGCCGCGATAACGTTCGGTATGCCATAACATATCAGTTTATGCCTTGATAGTTTCAGCAATTTTTAATTTCCATCGAATCGAATGTGGGAATATATTTCAATATTGCTTTCAATACTCTTCATTTGTATCAAACTATCTGTAGTCATAAAAAAATAACAAAAATGCTGGCTATGGAAGAAAAAAAAATCCGTAGTGATGTCACCATCCGTCGGCCGTCTTTTGTTTCCGTTTAGCAGACTGATTTCCGTATAATTCCAGACGTAGACTCGACTCACCTTCTCCAGCTCGCGGGGTTTGGTCTCGATCTTGTTGGCCATCACCATCTGGTGGAATTCGGCCTCAACGCGGTCCTTCATCTTCATCTGTTGGGGGAGGTTGTGGCTGATGAATATTCGGATTTTGGAGGTGTTTTTTTTTAATCAAAATTGTATGTATATTTTGAGAGATAAAGAAGAAAATAGAGAGTGTGTTTTGTTTACCTTCGCGTGGCGTTTGGCTTGGTGCAATTTTTTCAGGTTATCCTTCAGGTGATTCTGCTTCAGTCTGTGGGAAAGGGGGGAAGGGAGTGAACTGACTTCGTTTTCTTTTTTCTTTCTTATATATTACTCACATGCACACATACAAGCATACATGTGTGTGTGTGCGTATGTATGTAGTGTCCTGTATGTGTCAGTGGTAGCGTTTATCATACAAATGGAATATAACTAAATTATTTATCTAGTATTTTTCTATGTATGTACGCATACATGTATAGATGTATGGATGTATGGATGGATATATGGATGTGTGTATGCATCCATGTATAGATGTATGGATGTATGGATGGATATATGGATGTATGTATGCATCCATGTATGTATAAATGTATGAAATGTATGTATCCATGTCCGTGTGTACGTATGTATTTCTGTATGTCTGTCTGTATGTCCGTATGTATGTACGTATGTACGTATGTATGTCTCTATGTCCGCATGTATGTATGTAAGTCTGTATGTCTCTATGTCCGTATGTATGTATGTACGTATGTATGTCTCTATGTCCATATGTATGTATGTACGTCTGTATGTCTCTATGTACGTATGTATGTCTCTATGTCCGTATGCATGTATGTACGTCTGTATGTCTCTATGTCCGTATGTATGTATGTACGTATGTATGTCTCTATGCCCGTATGTGTGTATGTACGTATGTATGACTCTATGTCCGTATGTATGTATGTACGTCTGTATGTCTCTATGTATGCCTGTGTATGTATACATGCATGTGCGTGCGTTTACCTCACGCCGTCATCCGTCTTCTTGCGCAGTTCCTTGGCCTGCGTGGCGTGTGTGCTCACTTGGACAGCCTGCTCGTTGATGGCGGCGGCGGCGTCGACCGTGTCCTGGCCCCAGACCTCCACCGATTTCCTTATCCTTTCCAGGGAGGTTCGTAGGTGTCTGGTGGAGGAGGAGGGGAGGAAGAGGAGGTAGGAGGGAGAGGGGAAGGGGAGGGGGGTAGGAGGAGGAAGGTAGGGAGGGGGGGGAAGGTAGGGAGGGGGGAGGAGGAGGGGAAGGTAGGAGGGTGGAGGGAGGAGGTGGGGAGGTAAGGAGGAGGTAGGGAAGTGGGAGGGGAGGTAGGGAGGGTGGAGAAAGAGGAGGAGGGAGGTGGTAGGGAAGTGGGAGAGGGAGGTAGGAGGGTGGAGAGGAAGGTAGGGAGGGTGGAGAAAGAGGAGGAGGAGGAGGAGGAGGGTGGGAGGAAGAAGAAGGAGAAGGGGGAGAAGAAGGAGAAGGAGGAGGGAGGAGCAGGGAAAAGAAGAGGAGGAGGAGGGAAAAAAAGGCACAGACTTATCGTTAATTTCCCTTTTATTTATATTTTTTCGTGATATTTATGCATCATTATCATCATCATCTGTTCTTTCTTGTCATTCGAATTCATCACTTTCCTTTTATTATAATTCATCACAGTAACTCATCAAACCAAAACAAACATGTTCCTCAATTCACGTCCATTCGTTCATATACACAAGAAAAACACAAATAAACACAAAACAAACACAAGATAGAAAACAAACACAAGATAGACTCAAAACAAACACAAAACAAACACAAGATAGACTCAAAATAAACACAAAACAAACAAAAATGCAAAAATACAACAAAACAAACGCAAGACAAACACAAAGCAAACAAAACAAACACAAAATAAACAAAACAAAAGCAAAACAAACAAAAAATAAACACAAAACTAGCAAAACAAACACAAAAACGCAAAACAAACGCAAAACAAGCAAAACAAAAGCAAAACAAATAAAAAATAAACACAAGCAAAACAAGCACAAACACGCA